CTTTGCACACACTTATTATGTGTAATTTCGAATCTCCAAGGTTCGTAACAGAAAAAAAGTTAAGAAGAACAAAAATTGAAATGCAAAAAAAGTAGCCTATTTTCTAAAAGTGTTTTGCTGGCGAACTGTGGAATATTCGAGCAACAACTATGATCTGAGCAACAAAAAACGCTAAATTTCACCAACATCACAATTTTTTCTTGTTTAAAGACACCAACGACCACATCAACAACTGTCAACACTTCATCAAACTTCTAGAACTCCATATCTGCAATTAACAAATTCCGCAACTCCTAAAAGAAATTTAACATTTTCCAACAGATTGAAACGCATGACTCATCACAGCCTAATCCAAAAAAAAAAAAAAAAACACTAAAATTTCACATTTCTTTGTAACGTAACCACTTCAAGAAAGCAACAAATACAATAAATTTGGCAACTACAAATATTTTAATGTTCAATAATCGAACTTCTATGTGTCACAAAAAGCAAATAAAACTAAATAAATAAATCATGGGCAAGTACCATAAAAGCCACACAGGAATTCACTGCCGGAATCAACCGGTAAAAAGCTGCTAAGAATTTCCAACTGTTCAACAAAAAATTTTTCTTCACCTACATTTCATGTCAAAATGTCCCTTGCTTCTCCAAGAATAAAATCCTTTTCTTCTCATTACCATTCCTTCTATGTATAGGTTATTTGACACAAAAATCTAATAGTTAACTACTTCACTTCAACCCAAGTACACGGGCAGCAATATTACCGTTTTATTTTTATTGCCGATACACAGCGCAAGCAGGGTATTAACTAGGGCTACTCAGAAAAATAAAAATCATTAGCAAATCTGTATATAGCTGTTGAAAAAAGAGGAGGGAGTAATGCTTTAAAAATGCGATTCTGACGCTATATTTGACAACAACCGAAGATGAATAATGAATGATAAACAATGTCACGAGACTACGAATCTTTTTGCCTTCCTTATCTCTTACCTTTAAAAAAAACTAACAATCCCCGGAAAATACTTTCCCATTGATTTCTTATAAAAAAAATCACAGAAACATTGAAATTTGTTGCAGAAATCCAGAAATCTAACGAAATATACAAACGGAAACTGCGAAGCAAGACGAAAAGTTGAAGATCACGGCAAGTGGCAGGAACAATAAAATGGTATCAAAATACAACAATGCTCACCATCCGTTGGGCACACTTACTTTACCCGTTCCTCCCCCTAAAAAAACCAGACCACTTCCAAATGTACCAAAACAAACTGCATTTACAAACGTTGCTCAAAAAAGTTACAAAAAAAGCCTCCTCTCGTAAACTCCAGAATATTACAGAAGTCATGGTTTACAGAACAAAAAGTTATTAAAAGATAATAACAAATTCATGGAGTATCGCTTTCAAACCCTCTATTTCAAATAATCAATCGCTTCCTTCGCTTATTTCAACTTGAATTTGGCCAACCGAAAAAATGTAGGAAACAGACAGAAACAGAAACAAATTATCGATAACTACCTAATGAGGAAATAAGCAGTATATAAAAAAAATAAAAAGAAAACCGAACAACTATGACAACAGTAAAAACAACAAAAACAGTAACAATGGAGTAAAGAAAAATATACTCAAAACCAACGTCATATTTTTATTTGTTTACTTTTTTTCTATTACTGAATCGAACAACTAAGAAACCCAGAGAAAAAAAATAAAGAAAAAAAGAAGAGAAGGCAACAACAAAAGTCTAAACTACTAATTACAAATAGTGTGTGGCAGCAAAATAACAAGTGAAAATAAACCCCCTCATTTCCCTCATGTCCATTTCTATTTTCTCTCCTCCCCTCTTTCCTCCAGACAGTCTTCACAAACAAAAAGACAGTCGTTATCAACTTCACATACTGCATCTACAATCCATATCCTGATTAAGCTTCTACTTACAGGACGACAGTCGCCGTTGAACACGTTTTCTAGTTTGTTTAACTGTAAAAAAAAATATTCAGCAAACTAAACAAAACTATAACGGTGCTAAATAAA